GTTACAAACAAAAAAGCTCTGGGGGCTGGTACTGTGGCACAGTGGGTAAAGTCGCTTCCTACGAGGCTGGCATGTCGTCTGGGCGCTGGTTCGAGTCACAGCTGCTCCACTTCTGATCCAGCTCCCTGCTTATATGCCTGGGAAAGCGGTAGAAGATGGCCAAGTCTTTGGACCCCTGATACCCAAGTGGAAGACCCAGAAGAAGCTCCTGGCTTCCGGCTTCCAACTGGCTCAGCTCTGGCCGTTGCACCATTTGGGGAGCTAACCAGAGGATGGAAGACTTCTCTTGCTGTCTCTCCCTCTCACTGTGTAACTCTGCCTTTCAAGTAAATAAATCTTAAAACAAAAACAAAAACAAAACTACATCCTATTGTTATCAGAGACTTTTGGAAAAGGAATCACATCTATGTGGCAAGTGCAACCAACAGCAGCAGTATACATAAGGAGCAAGTGACATCTAAGAAGTTACACCTGAGATTCTCTTCCTCTTTGAGGTGGATTTCGAAGGGTGAGTGAGTTTATCAGACAGAGGAGGAGGAAAGAACATTCCAGACTGAGGTGGCACACTTAGTGGAAGGCAGGAAACCAAAATGGCAGCGTCTATTCAGTTCTGAATTTCAAGACCAGGTGGGTGAAAGGATTTAAACAGGCAAGTTACACGGCCTGATGTGACTCTCAGAAGGATGTAACTGAGGATGCGTGGGAAGGATGCAATTAAGGGGCTAAGAGTGTGGAGGCAAAGGTTACTGTGAGGGTCCAAGGAAGAGATGAGATTATGAACAAAGATAAAGCAGTCCTGTCGTTATTGTCCTATCAATGGGCAGTAATGCCCAGGTAAATTCACTTTTGCCACACTAATTTAGGCTGTAAAGCACATCTGCTTTCCTATGAAATAAAGCCTGGGCACTATGCAGTCACAACCCTAAGGATCCAGGAACGAATTTCGTGCCGTCCATCAATCACCTAGACCACCAGCGGAGATAACAGAGATTCTACTTCAACACCTGGGTAACTTGCGTTCTTTCATGAAAACAGGGCAAACACTACTGTTTGAGGTATCCCTGACTTAAGGCTGAATACACAGGATCTTTCTCAAAAGCACAGCAGGAAGAACCCACAGACCATCACAGCCGGTTGGCCGATTCGCTGAACGGAAACGTGGCTCAGGGACGATCTCATCCCAGGGATCCAAAGATGCTGAGCTCGGAGCCTGCCCCTCCTTACCTGACTCCAGCGTCTCCTCCCCTTCCGGTAGAAGCCTGGCTTTCTTCGCATTCTGCGGGGCATCATCGCCATTGTCCTCGTATATGTTAGACCACTTTATAGCCATGTCCAGCTCTGGGGGCGGGGGTTTCTTCTCCGCTGTGTAGGTCTCCGGCGGGGGCACATAGTTTGACTTCCAGATTTTGAACTCCTTTGGAGGCTGTTAAGGAAGCACAGGAAGACGCCCTGTGACGAACCGAGGTCCCTATGATCCACACAGGCACATGCACCTGCCTGCCCTTCGCTTATCGTCCAGGCTGGCTGTGTTTTGTTTTTTTTTTTAAAGGTTTTTAAGCAACATTTTTCCATCAAAATCACAAATACGGTTACGTGAAAAGCCAAAGGGTTCCCTATACGAATAAAGCTCATAACTTTTAGTTACCAAAGAAGAATCCAGTCTCAGGGATACTACGCCAAGGCTGACCCCTCCAGGAGGCTGCAGCAGACACTGTCTTGGAAGCAGCACCGCAGGCACTTCGGCGTCAAAGGGAAGGGGTCTCGGGGAGAAGCTGCAGCGGGGGGGCGGGGAGTCACCACCGTTAGTCCTCGCCGCGCGGGGTCGGGGCACCGAGCGCGGAGGTGGGGGTCTCCTCGCGGGGGGCGGGGCTGCGGGGCAGGGGCCCGGGCTCCCCGGGGCTGGAGCGGCATCCCGCGGGGGGCTGACTGCGAGCGGGGGGCGGAGAGCGGTGCTCGGGGGGTCGGGGCGAGGGGGCGGAGGCCGGGACACGGGGCGGGCACCTCACCTCCTCCGGCGCCTTCACGACGTGCCTCTCCCAGTCTATCTGCTTGTTGAGCGGGTTGTAGAGAAAGGCCGGGCGAGTCACGCTCCGGAACAGCTCGTCGGGTCCCGGCAGCCGCTTCTCCGCCTTGTTCCCGCAGCCGCCCGCCGACTTCGCCGCATCCGAGGCCCTGCGACCCGTCTCCTCCGGCTCGCTGTTATCCTCTTCGCCCGAGGAGCCCGAACTGCTGCTCCCATAAGCTGCGAAATAGCTCAGAGGGTCCTTCTCCTCCGCTGCCATGACGGCTGCGCGCAACCACCCCGGACTACACCGGAAGCCGGAAGCGGCTCCAGGTCCCGCCCCACTATTGGCCCCGCCCTAAGCCTGGCAGATGAACTACCTGTGTGCGCCCCCTGGCGGCGACGCTGCGCTACTGCCCCCTGGCAGAGGGGCTCAGGCAGGACGCAGGTTGAACAAGTTCCCAAGGGAGGGTTGCTTTGGCTCCTTTCCGGGTGAGCCCAGAGAAATGAAGTCCTGAGCCAGTGGCTCCAACTAGTCTGCATTCAGTTAAGTAGAAGAACTAACAGTTCGTCTTTTGACTTGCACTCCACTTTAGCTCCTACCCCAGGAGATCAAGATTTCTTAGTGGTTCCACTGCATCTCGTCTAACAAATACCAATGACTCAGTGTGCTTCATTGTCCTTTCCTGCTTCACCTTTTTTTTTTTTAAGATTCATTTATTTATTTGAAAGTCAGAGTTACACAGAGAGAGGAGAGGCAGAGAGACAGAGAGGTCTTCCATCTGCTTCACTCCCCAATTGGCCACAATGGCTGGAGCTGCGCTGATCTGAAGCCAGGAGCCAGGAGCTTCCTCTGGGTCTACCACAAGGGTGCAGGGGCCCAAGCACTTGGACCATCTTCTACTGCTTTTCCAGGCCACAGCACAGAGCTGGATTGGAAGTGGAGCAGCCAGGTCTTGAACCGGCGCCCATATGGGATGCCAGCGCTTCAGGCCAGAGCTTTAACCCACTGTGCCACAGCGCTGTGTCCCCCCCCTCCCCCCAGTCTTTGACTAAACTCCTCCCGGTGGCATCCCATTTCACTTGGAGGGGAGGCTCCTAAATTTTCCTTGGTCAGCCTCTTCTTGCCAGCCTGGCTCTCTTTGCAATCTATTACATTAACTCCCACAGATACTTACTGACACTTTGTGGAGCGTGTTACACAGTTGCAAGTCAGCCTAACCTCTTCTGCAACATTAGCTACCTAATGCTGTGCTTTTCTTTCTTTCTTTCTTTTTTTAACAGGCAGAGTGGACAGTGAGAGAGAGAGACAGAGAGAAAGGTCTTCCTTTGCCGTTGGTTCACCCTCCAATGGCCGCCGCGGCCGGCGCGCTGCGGCCGGCGCACCGCGCTGATCCGATGGCAGGAGCCAGGAGCCAGGTGCTTTTCCTGGTCTCCCATGGGGTGCAGGGCCCAAGCACCTGGGCCATCCTCCACCGCACTCCCTGGCCACAGCAGAGAGCTGGCCTGGATGAGGGGCAACCGGGACAGAATCCGGCGCCCCGACCGGAACTAGAACCCGGTGTGCCGGCGCCGCAAGGCGGAGGATTAGCCTAGTGAGCCGCGGCGCCGGCCAATGCTGTGCTTTTCAATGCGGGGTCTCCACCCCTACTCCTTTTCTCCAAGCTCCAGACACCATCTGCATTGGCTCCTAAACTTTCCATATTGTCAATCTGCTGGTCTCTCCAACACCCACTTACATGAATAGTAACTTGTTTGTCTGAATTCCTTGTCTACCTTTGTGTTCCCTCTCTCAGTAGGGAAGTGGTATAACCACCAGCCTAGCCGCCTGATTCCTCTCGGAAACCAAGAGGGGGAATGACACCCAAATGAAGTTGCTATCAGTGTCCATGTCTGGACGCTACTTAGAGATGCCTGCTCAGAAATGGTCCTGAGCCCCAGCCTGTCTCAGGTGCAGGCCCTGTGTGGTGCAGCTGACCAAGCCTTCTTCTCCAGATTCAGCACTACCTAGGCTGCCAGTGTGCTGGCTAGACCTGGGAAGCCATGGGCACTGTGGCCCAGCAGAGGCAACGTGAGGCTGAAAGTCCCTGGATACCTAGAAATCAGATGTGACCCTGTGCCTAGCCAAGTGGGTCAGCACTTCCACTGGGTCTGTGGCCTGGGGCTCTGTCATCCAGACTGGCTTTACAAAACTGAATAGCTACATTCAAGGCAAAATAGGAAAAGGAGTTGGCAATAAAGATGACAGCTCCGGTGACAAGCTACTGGAGCCTGGTTCAGGTCTTTTATTGAGCCTACCATCACTATTTTCCTGTATGGCCAGGCCTTCCAGTTGGACACCTTCATTGAAAGCTAATCTATAAATACAGGAACTATGAGATTATGGAGATTATGATCTTTGAGTAAATTCTATTACAAATTTTTAATGCTCAAGAATGTCTTTTATTTTCATTTGAAAGGCAGAGACAATCTTCCATCTGCTAGTTCACTCCCCAAATGTCTGCAACAGCTGGGGCTGCACCAGGATGAAGCTGGCAAACAGAAACTCCATCCAGATCTACCAAGTGGGTGGCATGGACCAAGTACTTGAGTCATCATCTGCTGCCTCCAAGGGCATTCATGCGAAAAGAAGCTGGTGAGAAGCAGAGGCAGGACTCAGCTAGGCACTCCAACACAGGATGTGTGTGTACCAAGCTGCAGCTGACCTGCTGTGCCACAATGCCCACTCAACTAGTTATTTGGAAGGGAGAGAGAGAGAGAGAGACCGACCCATCTATTGACTCACTTCCCAAATGCTCTCAACAGCCAGGAACCAGTAACTTAGTCTGGGTCTCTCTAGTGATAGGAAACCAACTACTTTGAATCATCACCAGCTGCCTCCCAGGGTGCCCGTTAGTAGGGAGCTGCAATTGAGAATAGAGTAGAAAGCTGAACCCAGGAATTCTAATATGGGATGTGGGTGTCCTAAATAGCATCTTAACCAATATCAAATGCCTACTTTTGTCACTATTTTTTTAATGAAGATTTATTTATTTATTGGAAAGGCAGAGTTACAGAAACAGAGAGGGAGGTCTTCCATATGCTGGTTCACTCCCCAAGTGGCCACAATGGCAGGAGTTGGGCCAATCTGAAGCCAGGAGCCAGGAGCTTCTTCCGGGTCTCCCATGCAGGTTTAGGGGCCCAAGCACTTGGACCATCTTCCACTGCTTTCCCAGGCCTTTGTAGAGCTGGATTGGAAGTGGGGTAGCTAGAACTTGAACCAGGACCCATATAAGATGCTGGCATTGCAGGAGGCAGCTTCACCTGCTACACGACAGTACTGGCCCCTTCACTATTTCTTATGCTGCAGGCAAAACTGATCCTCCTAAAATGTTAGAAAATGCTTATACTATAAAAAATTAGTCAAGTCTTTAAAAAAATTTTTAAAGCCAGTATGCCAAATTTCTTCATGATTGCTAAATTAAAAAGTTAAATTAATTTCTCACAATTTTGTTATGTTTTCTATAAAAGTTGGTGCACATAAAAAAGGTATATAATATTTCCTATTGAAAATCTAAAAAATCCAAACATAGCACTGAAATTTAAAAACTTTTCTTTTAAAAGGTTTATTTATTTGAAAGGCAGAATGATAGGGAGGGAGAGAAAAATCTTCCATCTACTGGTTCACTCCCCAAATTCCCACAACAGCCAGGTCTGGGCCAGGCTGAAGTTGTTAATTAGGAAATCAGGAACTCCATCCAGATCTCCCACATGGTGGCAGGGACTCAAAATACTTGAGCCATCACCGGCTGCTTCCTAGCCACCAGGGAGCTAGATTGGAAGTGGGGTAGGTAGGACTTGAATGGGCATTCTGATATGGGATGCAAGTGTCCCAAGTGGCAATTTAACCTGTCCCAAAACTTTGTTAATAGCAAATTTGCATCTGATATTTTTCAATTAAAAAAAGAAATATATAGAAAATGGACATCAGGAAGGAGTTATAATAAAAATGTGTAAGAATTTTCAAAACCATAAAATCAATCAAATTTTGTTAGACAGACACATCTAGTGAATGGCCCACTTTTTCCAAATAGTATTAAAAAAGCAGAGTTTTGGGGGCAAGCACCTTGGCATGGTGGGTAAAGTTGCTGCCTGCAGTGCCAGCATCCCATATGGGCCCTGGTTCAAGTCCCAGCTGTTCCACTTCTGATTCAGCTCTCTGCTATGGCCTGGGAAAGAAGTGGAAGATGGACCAAGTCCTTGGGCCCCTGTGTTCATGTGGGAGAGACTTGGAGGAAGCTCCAGGCTACTGGCTTCAGATTGCTCAGCTCTCCCCATTTGGGGAGTGAATCAGTGGGTGGAAGACCTCTTTCTGCCTCTGCCTCTCTGTCTTTCAAATAAAAGAAAAAAAGAAAAAAGAAAAAAAAAAGGAAGAGTTGCCACACACATACACACACACCAAGCCAATTTGTTCTGGCTATTTCAATTGCACGGTGGTCCCCACTGAAAGAGAAATTATCTTTTATTATTTATTTTAAAACAGAAGCTTTTTTTTTATATAAAAAAAGTTTTATTTATTTGAAAAGCAAAGTGATAGAGACAGAGATAGGCATCCTCAACTACTGGTTCACTTCCCAGATGTCCAGAACAGCCAGGACTGGACCAGGATGAAGACAGGAGGCAGGAACTCCATCTGGGTTTCCCATATGAGTGGCACTGACCTAAGCACTTGAACCATCACCCGCTGCCTTCCAGTGTGCTTATTAGCAGGAAGCTAGATCAGAAGTGCGGACTCAAACCCAGGCACTCAGATATGGGTTGCAGAGGTCTTTACAACTGTGCCAAATGCCCACCCTGAAACCATCTTTTAAGTATCTCATTAAATTATATGGGGCTTATGCCAAGATATTTTCTGCAAGAATGAAAATGATAGAGGAGGCCGGCGCCACGGCTCAATAGGCTAATCCTCTGCCTGCGGCGCGGGTACACCGGGTTCTAGTCCCTGATGGGGTGTCGGATTCTGTCCCGGTTGCCCCTCTTCCAGTCCAGCTCTGCTGTGGCCTGGGAGTGCAGTGGAGGATGGCTCAAGTCCTTGGGCCCTGCACCCCATGGGAGACCAGGATAAGTACCTGGCTCCTGCCATCGGATCAGCGCGGTGCGCTGGCCGCAGTGCGCTGGCTGCAGCGGCCATTGGAGGGTGAACCAACGGTAAAGGAAGACCTTTCTCTCTGTTTCTTTCTCACTGTCCACTCTGCCTGTCAAAAAAAAAATAAAAAAATAAAAAATAAAAAAAAAGAAAATGATAAAGGAAAGAATGTGAACATGTTAAGAAAATAGCATTAATTAGTAAGGCTAATATGAAATGAATTTAGGTAAACCGCTGAGGCTTTTGGTGGCTGAAACTCCACCACAGGTAATATAAGGAGACCTTGTACATGCTTGTAAGACCAACTGAGAGGAAAAGAGATTCTTTTCAGTATATTGGCGATTTTTCCCTCAGTGATTGGCTTCATTTCCAGACAGGAACTGCTTAATGCTGAAAATTTACTGCTCAATGGTTAGAAAGGACCATTAGAAAATTCCTAGCAAAAAAATGCAAAGAAAATTTGCAGCCTAAGAATCTATCTTCAAATAGAGAAATGGTCCTCATTAAAATTAGTTTTAAACATGAAAAATCCGCAAACACTAAAGCACCTAAAAGGGAAAAGTACAGAAAATACTGAAAAGTACATGATCAACAAGACTGACATTTAGCTATCCTGAAAGTATACTTCTTTTGCTCTAAAATATTCTATTTACAAAGTATGCTTAAAATTGCATTTTTGAAAGACACATATCAAATGTAAATAAATCACTGTAGAAGTTTATAAAAAGATTCATATCCTTTAAAACATTTTTTGTTGTTACTGAACACACTAAAGGCAGTATGCTGTCATTGCCGTGAAAGAGCGCGTGACCGTAAGGGAAGAAACATCTCGCTGGAGTTCGCGCAAGTTCCTTGCTCTTCTAATTGCAGCTCCGGTGGCAAAGGAGGAGCTCCAGGGTCCCCAGGTCTGGGAAGTGTGGTTGAAGAGAAGATGGTATTTTCAGTTCTGCCTACTTCTAGAATAGGCAAATTCAGAGAAGAATCAGTAGAGAAAAAGGGAGCCGTGCTGGATTCTCCTTCCGGATGGTACATGGCGGTGGACGCTCTCCGTTTCTCGGAGAAAGTACTCTCATCTGAATTGGATCTAGATAAGTTGTTCGTGGCTCCACCAGGGAAAGGCTCACAGCTGCTACATTTGAGTCCTATAATTAAATCATTCAAGTGTAAATAGGAAAGTCTCAAGAACTGGCATCTGCCCCCACCTTTGTAACTTTGTAAAGATTACCAGCCAGCTGCCACACAGTCAAATTTTAAACAGCAACTTATATATTCTGTCATAATCCATTTCAGATCTAACAGTCATGAAGTGGACTTTTATTTACATTTTCCCTAAAAGAAAATAGTCTTAAGGGAGCTAAAAGACATGAAATTCACATTTCATGTGTACTTACATACTCAACCACTGAAGGACCCAGAAAAAATAAAGCAGCCTCCCCAAATTTTCCATAAAATAATAAGGTATCCATACCCCTCTGTTATGCTTAGCAAATAATCAGCCTAACTGTCCACAAGGCACAGAAACTCCTGAGTTGACAAATTTTAGGTAAAACATGAAAAATCCATGAAGTCCACTTACATGTAGCTTTTCCCACTACTTTCCTACTTCACAACATTCAGTATCTGTTTTTTGTTTATTTTCATCTACTTGAAAGGCAGAGTGAGAAAGAGAGAGACAGAGACAGAGAGAGAGAGAGAGAGAGAGAGAGAGAGAAAGATAGGAAGACAGAGATCTTCTATTTCCTGGTTCACTTCCCAGATGCCTACAAGTCAGACTTGGGCTAGGCCAAAGCCAGGAGCCTGGAACTCCATCCAGGCCCCCACAAGGGTGGCAGGGGCTGAAGCACTTGAGCCATCATTTGCTGCCTCCCAGGATGCATTGGCAAGAAGCTGGATTGGAGCAGAGCAGCTGGGACATAAACCAGCACTCTAATATAGGGTGCATGTGTCCCAAGTGGTGGCTTAATACGCTGCCCACGCCTGCCTTGCATTCATTATTTCTGTCCCACACTACATAAATTATCTTCTTATATATGGCTCACAAGGGGTACCTTCCAATGTGTCCTATCCAGCAAGGACAGGAGGCAGGACCCAGGGTACACATTAGCAGGAAGCTGGAATCGGAAGTGTAGCTGGCACTAAAACCAGGCATCCAATATGGGATGCAGGTGTCCCAAGCAGCATCCTTTTTTTATTTTTTTTTATTTATTTATTTTTGACAGGCAGAGTTAGGCAATGAGAGAGACAGAGACAGAGAGAAAGGTCTTCCTTTGCCATTGGTTCACTCCCCAAATTGCCACTACAGCCAGCGCACTGTGCCGATCTGAAGCCAGGAACCAGGTGCCTCCTCCTGGTCTCCCGTGTGGGTGCAGGGGTCCAAGTACTTGGGCCATCCTCCATTGCCTTCCCGGGCCACAGCAGAGAGCTGGACCGGAAGAGGAGCAACCAGGACAATATCCGGCGCCCTGACCGGGACTAGAACCTGGGGTGCCAGCACTGCAGGCAGAAGATTAGCCTAGTGAGTCACGGTGCTGGCCCCAAGCAGCATCTTAACTGCTGCACTAAATGCCTATCCATAAGCTTAAACTTTTAGAAGCAAAATATCACTTCTAATTTTTTGGTTTGCATTCTTTTTTAAAAATTTTTTATTGGCTGGTGCCGCGGCTCACTAGGCTAATCCTCCACCTGCAGCACCGGCACACCAGGTTCTAGTCCTGGTCAGGGCACCAGATTCTGTCCTGGTTGCCCTCTTCCAGTCCAGCTCTCTGCTGTGGTCCAGGAGTGCAGTGGAGGATGGCCCAAGTGCTTGGGCCCTGCACCCGCACGGGAGACCAGGAGGAAGCACTTGGCTCCTGGCTTCGGATCAGCATGGTGCGCCGGCCGCAGCGGCCATTGAGGGAAGACCTTTCTCTCTCTCTCACTGTCCACTCTGCCTGTAAAAAAAAAAAAAAAAAAAAAAAAAAAAAAAACCAAAGATTTTTTATTTTAAGGCAGAATGAAGAGAGGAAGATCTTTCATCTGCTGGTTTATTCCCCAAATGGCCACAATGGCAGAGGCTGGGCTAGACGGAAGCCAGGAGCCTGGAACTCTATCTAGAGTCTCCCACACAAGTGATGGGGGCCCAAGCACTTGGGTCATTCTCTGCTGCAAAATTAGCAGGGAGCTAGATTTGAAGTGGAGCAGCCGGGATGCAAATCCAGCACCCTTATGGGATGCCAGTGTTGCAGGTGACAGCTTAACCCTTTGTACCAAAATGCAGGACTCTTCTTTTGCATTTTAACAAAGCATTTTTGTGGCAGGTGCTATTGCACAGCAGGTTAAAGCCACGGGTTGCCCTGCAACACTGGCATCTCATGATGGCACTAGTTTAAGTTGTGGCTGCTCCACTTCCAATCCAGTTCCCAGCTAATGTGCCAGGGAAAGCAGTGGACGATGGCAAGTCTTTTGGCCCCTGCACCTACACAGGAGACCTGGAAGAAGATCCTGGCTTCGGCCTGATCCAGCCCTGGTCATTGCAGCCATTTGAGGAGTGAACCAGCAGATGGGACCTGTCTCTGGTTCTGTCTCTCCCTTCTCTCTCTCTCTCTCTGTAACTCTGTTTTCCAAATAAAGAGAAATATTAAAAAAAACAAAAAAACAAAAAAAACAAAACTCCACAAAGCATTATTACACTTAATCCTGAGAAACTTAACATATCTTACCTTTCAGATGTTCTAGTTTGATATTTCTAAGTTTCAGCACTTCATCTGTGATCTTCTGTATCAGGAAGTTCTGTGTTTTTTCTCGTCGAATAGATTCAACGAGGGTGTCTAGTCCTTTGGGGTTTTCTTGTAAGTAGTCTAACAGTTTTCCAGCCCTCTTTCTACTTGATGTTCGACAAGAAATTTCTTCAGTGTCTTCTCTACTGAGTATTTTTTTGGCACGTAGATGATCAAAATGTCTCTCAGCAATGATTTTTTCACACAGGTATACACGCAAATTTTCTAGAGCCTAAAAAGACATAATACATGCTTCAGTGTTGTTTTCTCAAACCTAAGGAAATCACACAGGTGACTGATTGTTAGGAACCTTTTCTGATGGAAGGTGCTGTTCTGAAGTCGGGAGGCTCAGGCCCTCTGAAACCCAAGCTAATTAAGCTGAAGGTCCAAGGTTATCCATGCAGGTCCCCCACATTCCTCCCTGGTTCAGCCCTGCTCTTTTATAAATATAAAGCTTTTATTTAATAAATATAAATTTCGTAAGTACAACTTTTGGATTATAGCGGTTCTTCCCCCTATACCTGCTCTCCCACCCCCACTCCCATCCCACCTCCTACTCCCTCTCCTATCTCATTCTTCATTAATATCCATTTTTAATTATCTTTATATACAGAAGATCAATTCTATACTAAGTAAAGATTTCAACAGTTTGCACCCACACAGACACACAAAGTATAAAGTACTGTTTGAAGACCAGTTTTACTGTTAATTCGCATAGTACAACACATTGAGGACAGATGCCCTACATGGGAAGCAAGTACACAGCGACTCCTGTTAACAACTGACACTCTTATTTGTGACGTCAGTGATCACCCGAGGCTCTTGTCCTGAGTTGCCAAGGCTATGGAAGCCTCCTGAATCCACAAACTCGACATGACTTAGACAAGGCCATAATCAAAGTGGAAGTTCTCTCTTCCCTTCTGAGAAAGGTATCTCCTTCTTTGATGGCCCCTTCTTTCCACTGCTCAAAAATAAACGAAAAGGGGGAAATGTGGTGGAATGAGAAGGCCATGCCAAGGTGGCCACTGGCAAGTGAGCATCAGTTACCCAGGAATGGCTTTGAAACTGCCTGGCAACAGGCTGTGACTGGTTGGGGCATAGACCGCCCCTTGACCAGACTGGCTGGTCTTGGCTATATAAGATGTTGTACCAACTGTAATAAACGAGTCTGCGGGCTGCTCGCCTCAAGCCTGCTTTCACCCGACTCCCGGGGTCTGTGTGGTGACTCTGCGCCTCTTGCCCCCACCACGCTGCTCCTCTCAGAAATGAATCCACTGCAACACTGTTGAGAAATCAACTGCAACACACCAGGATCTCACTCATAGAGATCTTTCACGTAGGTCATTTTTTGCCACAGTGTCTTGGCTTTCCATGCCTGAAATGCTCTGGGGGCTTTTTAGCCAGATCTGAATGCCTTTAAGGGCTGATTCTGAGGCCAGAGTGCTGTTTAGCTATTTGTCATTCTGAGTCTGCTGTGCGTCCTGCTTCTTATGTTGGATCATTCCCTCCTTTTTAATTCTATCTATTATTATTAGCAGATACTTGGTCTTATTTATGTGATCCCTTTGACATTAATCCTATCTTCATGATCAGTTATGAACTTAAACTGATCACTTTAACTAGTAAGATGGCATTGGTAATCTGCCAACTTCATTGGATTTGGAGTCCCATGTTAGCCCTACTTTTGATTTTACCTTCACAACTAAAAACCAAGACCACGTTACCGAGAAGAGGGGCCTGGGTCCTTGGCAGTAAGCAGGCCTGCGGATGGCTACCTTCAGGGGTTAAAGACGAGAGCAAAAAGGACTGTACACTGTAATTACCATTTAGCAAGGAATTCAGAATTATGAACTGGGAGGATGTTCTCACAATTTACAACTTTCTCACGTTTGTACTTAATTATTCCACTTCCCTAGAGGAAAATTATTAACAATAAAACAAAAACAAAAATCTTAATTAAAAGAATCCGACCTGTATCTGTCTTTGGGGTCTGTAGGAGAGGCTAAACTCTAAGTCAGTGAGTCTGTCTTAGTGGAAAGGAGATGGAAGGGTGTATGGAGATAGAAACCTAGAGAAATAACAGGTTCTGGAAAAACTGAAGAGTTCAAGAATACCACAGAAACCAAGTCTATGTATGGAAAGTGCCTAAGGGAGCTTAATTAGCAGAAAATCCATGTTGGTCTCAATAAATTGCATTAACAACTGATGTCAGCAACTCTATTTTAGCACCTCCCTTTACTAGGCCTGTGATCTCGGGTAAGTTACTTCACGCCTCTGTGCCTGTTTCTTCATCTGTTATGCAGAACACATAAATTAATATATGCAAAGTGCTTTGAAAAGTGTGGTATTTGGGAAGTATCAATATATGTCAGAGACTATGACCACGATAATTCATCTGACTCACATTGATGATGAAGATTTCAGAGGCACCACAGTGTGTGGTGGCAAGAAGCTGGGCTAGATGAAGGGTTGCTGCAGTTCTTGGTCCACTGAGCTCCCACATTCATCTACTCACACACAGACATTTTATAATATGCCAAGTGCTGAGCACTGACTATATTTAGATGACAAGATATGAATCCTGGATGCAAAGGGCCTTGGTCAAGTTGGGAAATGTGTATTACACGAAACCAGTAATTTTAAGACAATATGATACAGCCCAGGGAAAAAAAAATTATAGTCAACTGGGGAAACACAGATTAAGCAACTCCATCTCCAAGAACTGGGAAATTTACAGAGGCATGGAGGTGCACAGAATTCTGGGGTAGAGTACACATGGCTACTGAGAAGGGAGATAAGAAATGAAGTAGAGAAGGAAAACTGGCATGGCTCATGGAAGATTTAAAAAACTTTTGTTTTAAACATGTTGTTATTTGGGGAAAAGGGGGGAGAGGGAAGGAACTTGGGGGAGGGGAGAAAGAGGGAGACAGACAGACACTGAGAGCTCCCAGTGGTCTTCTCTCTCAGATTCTTGCAATGGCCAGGGCAGGAACCAAGAGCCAGGACCTCAATACAGATCTCCCATGTGAGCTGCAGGAAATCTAGTAACTTGAACTATTACCCGCTACCTGGCATTTGCATTAGTAGAAAGCTGGATTCAAGATCTGGAGCTTGGAACTGAACCAGGTACTTTGCTATGGAAGGTGGGTGTCTTTTTTTTAATTTATTTTTTTGACAGGCAGAGTGGACAGTGAGAGAGAGAGACAGAGAGAAAGGTCTTCCTTTTGTCGATGGTTTACCCTCCAATGGCCGCCGTGGCTGGCACGCTGCAGCCAGCGCACCGTGCTGATCCGATGGCAGGAGCCAGGTACTTATCCTGGTCTCCCATGGGGTGCAGGACCCAAGGACTTGGGCCATCCTCCACTGCACTCCCTGGCCACAGCAGAGAGCTGGCATGGAAGAGGGGCAACCGGGACAGAATCCGGCGCCCCGACCGGGACTAGAACCCGGTGTGCCGGCGCCGCAAGGCGCAGGATTAGCCTAGTGAGCTGCGGCACCGGCCTTTTTTTTTTTTTTTTTAAGATTTATTTATTTATTTGAAAGTCAGAGTTACACAGAGAGAGGACAGACAGAGAGAGGGAGAGAGAGAGGTCTTCTAACCGATGGTTCACTCTCCAGTTGGCCACAACGACCAGAGCTGTGCCATCTGAAACCAGGAGCCAGGAGCTTCTTCCAGGTCTCCCATGTGGGTGCAGGGACCCAAGGACTTGGGCCATCTTCTAGTGCTTTCCCAGGCCATAGCAGAGAGCTGGATTGGAAGTGGAGCAGCTGGGACTTGAACCGGCACCCATATGGGATGCCAGCACTTCAGGCCAGGGTGTTAACCCACTGCACCACAGCGCCGGCCCCAGGTGGGTGTCTTAACAGCTGAGCTAAATGCTTATTCATGGAAGACTTTTTTATAACAAACAGAGAAACACACATTTCCCCATAGCCAAAAGAAAAGTTTTCAAAGATGTAGAAATAAGCAGCAGTAAGAAAACTGTTGCAGAAAACTGGAGGTAGCCAAAACTGAGGTCAAAGGAGACCAATTGAAGATTGCCTCAATTATCTTACATAAAAGATGCTGAATGTATGAATTCATCTTTTCCATTTTACCACTTATACACCGATGTTTCTCAAATTTATGCCTGTGATCAAGACTTCCTCCACTTATACATCCCAAAGGTACTCAAAATTCAATATGTTCTAAATTTATCGTACCCTTATCCTTTTCCTTTGATATTGTCAACTCACTTGGGAGTACCACTATCCATCTAACCATGCAATACATCTAGAATTTATCTTTGATCCTTCTTCTTTCACTCACTTGCCACATCTGATCAACCATTCTTCAAGACCCACCAATCCACTTCATATATTGTGTCCCTGCACTTCATCTCTATTATCATTGCCCTAGTTTAGGTCCTTATTTTTTTAAGGATTTATTTATTTATTTGAAAGGCAGAGTTGGAGAGAGAGGCCTTCCATCTGCTGGTTCACTCCCAAATGGCCACAATGGCCAGAGCTGGACTGATCCAAAGACAGGAGCTTTTTTCAGGTCTCCCACATAGATGCAGTGGCCCAAGGTCTTGGGCCATCTTCTACTCCTTTCCCAGGCCATAGCAGAGAGTAGGATTGGAAGTGGAGCAGCTGGGTCTTGAACTGGTGCCCATATGGGATGCAGGCGCTGCAGGCCAGGGTTTTAATCTGCTGTGCCACAGCACTGACCTCCTAACTAGACTTATTATTTCCTTCCTCCTCCTCAAATTTCTCCTTCACACATCCTTTAGATCTTGCAATTTTTCTTCTCCTTTTAAAAAAATAACTTTAAAAAAAATGTTTATTTATTTGAATGTCAGAATTAGAGAGAGAGAGAGGAAGAGACAAAGATCCTTTATTTGCTGGTTCACTTCCCAAATGGCTGCAATGGCTGGGGCCAAGCCAGGCCAAAGCCAGGAGTCAGGAGCCAGGACCTTCATCCAGGTGTCCCACATAGATGCCAGGGCCCAAACACTTCGGCTATCTTCTGGTGCTTTCCCCAGGCCATTAGAAGGGAACTGGATCGGAAGTGGAGCAGCTGGGACTCCAACTGGCACCCACATGGGATGTTGGCATTGCAGGCGGCAGCTTTACCCACCATGCTACAACACTGGCCCCAAAATTTAATTCTTTATATGAGAAGCAGAAAGACAGAGAGCTTCCATCTGCTTATTCACTCTCACAAGCCCTTAATGGCTGAGACTTGGCATG